TCCCACCCGGCGCGCCCTCCGTCCTCTCCGCCGCTGTGCAGCCCTCGTAAGACCATCTTATGCTGCCCTCCGGCCATAGGATGACCTCGGCAAAGCTTCGTTCAAATGAATGCTGTGTATACTCAGCTGCGCATTTAGGATTAAGAGAAAGCAGCCAGATACAGCATCGTTTATCACTGCTATTCTTTTTTATTTTGCTTAATGCCTTAAACTGTTATTAACTTGGAATTTCCATTATTTAGAATTTGTAAATGCAAAGTGTGAGGGAAAAGTGTTTGTTAAGAACCAAAACACCACTTGAATGATGTTAAAAGGTAGAATTTCAATTTCTTAGGGAAACGTTCAGCACATAAAGAAGTTGAGCGGCCCGAAGCTCTGGAATAATGCGTTAATTGAATTTAAAAATTATTTCAGGTTGTTTGTGGCCAGACTCCTCCACCCTACTCTCCCCACCCTGTGCTGTGGGAACAGGCATTCAGGAAATTAAGTTATCCATTTAGCGAGTACTTATTTCTAGACACTTCCTGAGCTAGACACCATGTGTTGTTGCATTGGATCTCAGGGCTTGTGTGTTATGGATTAATACCACACTGTGATACACTAGTGTTGGTAGATAATAAAACATTAGGCAGTCAGTCCACAATTACTCACACATCCTGAACCTTTCCCAAATACACGAGTCATTATTTCCTTTTTAAACATGGCTATAAAGTCTAGCTGGAGCCAAGCCTCACCAAAGCTAGTCACAACCAGAAGTAGCAGGTCCATTCCTGTCTTGTTTTCAATTTAAGTGAACAAAGTGATACTTTCGAAAGACTTAGTATTCACTTTTTAATCAGTCTGCCCTAATCTAGGCAGAGTCACAAAACACTTAATTAAAAAACAATTTAATTTACACCTTCTTGCTTTTTTCAAGTCCACATTCTAATGTCACCATTATAATTTTTTGCTATTTTAGTTTTATTTCATTAAAAAATGTGGGGCCGGGGATATAGCTCAGTGGCATAAGGACCTGCTTGGCAAGAGCCAGGTCCCAAGTGTTCAATCCCCAGTACCAAAATAAAATTCTAATACTTTTCTCATGAATTGGTGCTCTCTATTTTTACTCCTAATCTGTTTAATGCAAAAGTTTCCATAAATCTAGATAGATGGACATGATGTTCAGGACAGCCCAAACAAAAATAGATTGAATTTTTGTTTGAATTGAATTGAAAACACAGTTCCTTTAGGATGGTGGCTCATGAGTGCCTCTTAATCAGCGGCTGAGATTCCTTGCCAGCCTCAGCAACTGTGGTTCTCTTACACGTTCACCTTATGTTCTTCTTAGCTTTGGCCAACCACTGCAAGAACCTTATGAGATTTTCTATAGAAAACATATAATGCCTGATTTCAGAACAAAGAAGTAATTTCTCCATTAAATTAAATTCTCCTGGCTGTTGAAAGAAAATTAGGGGAAAACGGGAGAACAAAACTTCTCAAATAATAAAACATTCATTGAATATTTTCTAGTTTCTAGTTTCACACCAAAGGTATAAAGAGATTGCATTAAAATGTCTTGAGATACAAGGATAAGAGGTTTAGCCAGGCGGGGTGAAGCCTCTCATGTTTGACTGTGAGCTACAATCTGAGTAGACAAAGCAACCAAGGCATGAGCCAACTTAATGTTTCATCAGTGTTATTTATTTTCAAGGTTCTTCTACTTTCCTTGAAGTACTAACATGCAATTAATTAATTAATTCATATGTTTTTTTACTCTGTTATTAGGTTGCAACTTTTATAAAAAACAGGGATCACAGACTATTGTTTACATCCACAATGATTTTTTTTTTTTAAATGTATTTGGTACAGGGTCTCACTATGCCGCTTGGACCTGTAGTGGTCATCCTGTTTTCAGCCCCTCCAGTGCTGGGATTACAGGCATGCACCACCATGCCCAGTGTCAGTGGCCAGCTCAGTGTGTTTGGTGGTGGGGCCAGCACAGCGTGTGATGCTAGGGATTGATTGTTCAATTTGCATTTGTCCAATGGATCTTAATTTAAGATGTGGAACCCAGGGTTTCCACTCTGGTTCTCAGGAGTGATTCTTCCCCATGGGAGACTTGCCACGGGTCTCAGCCCTTATTCACTGTCTTGTGCTGTCTGTTGCCCACAGTGCAGCCTACGGTGACCATCTCGCCATCCAAGACAGAGGCCCTGAACCACCACAACCTGCTGGTCTGCTCAGTGTCAGATTTCTATCCAGCTCAGATCAGAGTCCAGTGGTTCCGGAATGGCCAGGAGCAGACAGCTGGCGTCGTGTCCACCTCCCTCATTAGGAACGGGGACTGGACCTTCCAGATTATAGTGATGCTGGAGATGACCCCCCAGCGTGGGGATGTCTACACCTGCCACGTGGAGCACTCTAGCCTCCAGAGCCCCATCACAGTGGAGTGGCGTAAGAGACACCTTACATTCTTTTACTGTGGGTCCCCTAGGAAAGAAGGCTGAGCTCTCTGGAGCCTATTCTATTCCATTCTTTGTCTTTCCTGCTACTATTAAACTGAGACTCACAGAAATAGAACCTCTTGCAAACATCAGAGGAGAATCCTGGCTCATTGTCTTTCCAGATGCTAAGGAGATTGCTGAATATACTGTGGACCTGGAAATCAGGCCCGGTACTGCTAAAAGATAGACTATTATGGCTGATGACTTGGGTCTTAGGATCTAAGGTTATGGAAGTGTCTCCCTGTGGAGAAGGCATCTGCTTGGATGGTCCTTCCCTCTTCTAGAAATGGCCAGAATAGAGAACTAGATTCCCCTGGCACCTTCACCTCTTATAACTCAGGCTGGACTTCAGGTCCTCACCAGGGACCTTGTGGGACATGGGATAAAGCTGACACTCAGACTTGCTTCCCAGGGGCACAGTCTGAATCTGCGCAGAGCAAGATGCTGAGTGGCATCGGGGGCTTCGTGCTGGGGCTGATCTTCCTGGGGCTGGGCTTCTTTATCCATCGCAGAAGTCAGAAAGGTGAGTGGTTCTGGGAAGAGGGAAAAGATGGGCTGCACCACAGCCCAGGTTTCAGGAAAGCTTTGCCTCCAGAAGTCGCCCTTCCCATCTGACCACCAAGAGAGAAGGCTGGGCTGGAGGTAGGAGGAGAAGACAGCTTTGGGCAAGATCCTAGAATCTGATTTTACTGATTGAAAGGCAGCCTTGCTTCAGGGCTGGTGGTGAACTCATTCTAGGACTTCCTTTCTGCTCACCCTTGGCTCCTCTCCAAAAGCTTCCACCATTAAAAGGTTCAGAGCCTTGGTTGCTCTTCCTTCTAGAGACAATTTCACTGGTATTGGGACATTTTTGGCCTAAGGTGTTTGGGCCCTTGCAGAACCTGGATTGGGAGAGAAATAAGTCTGTCTTTAAGTTGCATGTCTCATTGCCCTGTGCACTGTGTGAGAGAGTGGCTGTCCGTGTAACGAGGTCTTTCTGTGTTTAATTTCCTCTTGTAGGAGCTCGTGGACCTCCACCAGCAGGTAATGTTTCAGTCCTGATGCACGGGAGTGGGGGGGGGGGACACAGATGTGAGGGCAGAGGGCAGGAGATGGTTGTACCTGGCACAGTAATCTCAGCTCCCTGCCTGTTTCTTGTTGCAGAGACTGAGAATAAAGGGAGGCTGGGTGTGGTCACCACTCTAGTGCCAGCGCGCAGGGAGGCTGAGACAGGGGGATTGTAATTTTGAGCCCAACCTGTGAAATTCAGTGAGATCCTGACTCACAATACAAAATAAGTGTTGGGGATAGTCCAGTGTGAAAGTCCTGGGTTCAATCCCTAGGGTTGGAGAAAAAAGAGTGAAGGGAGAAGGTGGCCACCCTGTGTAGGAAGCTCCAGAGGGTGTTCCCTAGGTCCTGGAACTTGAGCTGTCTTGGGTCTCAGTCACCAAGGTGACACCTGTTTTATGCCATATACTGGTTGCAGCTGGCATTGGCCAGTAACTAGAGGAGGTTACTGGGGTGGCAGGAAGGTGAGACACCATCCAGTTTAGTGAAAGCTGACCGACCCCTTCTGATTTCCCTGGAGGGTGGTGGCTGCTCTCTACTCCCACACGCATCTGTCCAGCTGAACTTCTGTGTCCTTTTATACTGATTTCACCTTTATGTGGACAGTGAAGTAGTGGTGGTGGTGTACCCTGGACAGCCCTGTCTGAGTGAAGTGGGAGGGGATCCAGGAGGAGAGTGGGTGACCCCAGTGTCCCTTGTGCTAATCACTCCTTCATGTCTCCTACAGGGCTCCTACAGTGACTTCCGAGTGTGTCCTGAGTGGAATTGGCCTTCACTCTTCTGTGCGGCTTGCCTGCCACAGCCCAGAGTTCCCGCCTTGACTCAGCCTCCTTCTATGATCAGAATCCCACCGCGGCTCCCATACTCCTCTAGCTCACCTCCTGTGACCCCCGCCCCAAGGACCTCAGCTCCCTGAGCTCACCCCCGAGTCTTGCCTGTATGTGACAGCAGCACCGACTCAGACCCAAAGGGCTTGCCTTTTTTATGTCTTCCCAGTGTGTGGCTCAAGAGATGCATTAAAGCCATTTGTCTGGGTGTAGAGTTTTTTTATGATTAAACATGGTTCTGAGTGATCGTATCCCACATTTCTTTAACTGAGCAGAGCAAGGAAAATGCAGAATAAAAGGGTTTTGATGTAACCCAAGCAGCCTGTGGCCAGAAGGAGGGACTGTTCCTCCACAGGAGCTTAGAAGCATCCCGGTGCCATGTAAGGGAGCGCTGAGGAGTAGGACACCAACAGGTGTGACCTCCACGGTCCTTCGTCATACTGTTCAGAAAATGGCCTCACGCCATCCCAGCATGACTTGCAGCCCACTGAGTGCAGTATAAGTAATCATGGTGGAATTGTCTGGGGACCGATAGAGTGACAGCTGATGTGTCAGTTGTATCCAGACAAGTCGCAGTGAAAAGGCGAACTTTCATTGCTGAGTGCCTACAGTCAGCACTAAGTTACTTGTAGATCCAAATGGCAGAAACCCAGCTTAACTTATTTTATTCATGTTCCAGGGAAGCAAAGAGTCAAGTTGATTTTCCTTCCCTCCACTTCACTCCTTTCCTTCTCTTTGCTGTCCCAACTTGCCCTTTCCTCTCCCCGTTTCCCTCTCTCCTTTCTCTTCCTCCCATCTCCTCCCATTCCCTTTCTCCTTAATGTGTCATTTCCTCCCTATTTCCGTCTACCCAGATGTGCTCTTTCTGTTTCTCTTTACATCTGTCCTATCACATCACATCTTATTTGTTTCTGTGTATGTCAGTCTCTATTGTACATTTCTAGACTGTTTAACAAAGTTTTAACAATTTTAGGAAAAACTCATATTGACCACACCTGGGGGATGTGAAACTCCCAAAAACATCATCTTGCACACAGGATGCTGCCAGCCAGCATTATGTCCATCCCTCTTATTAGGAACGGGAATTGGAACTTCCAGATCCTTGTGATACCAGAAATGGCCTCTTAGTGTGGAGATAACTGTGTCAGTCACCTGGAGCAGCTCAGCCTACAAAACCCATCTCAGTGAAGTGACACAGGGCACCTCACAGGACAGCGCAGAGCTCCCCTAGATTTCAGGGGCTATCGCTGTGCGTGCTGAATCACAACCATCCCATCCCTTTCCTTCTCACACTCCCCCAATGCTGTGCTGAGCTGCAGTTCCTAGAGGACAGCCTTTCTCATCTGTGGACATTGTGACCGGTTGGTTCATGATGGCAGTCCACCTGGCCTGTGATGTGTCCTAGCCCTTAAAACTGGTCTCCCGCTCATTCTGCTGTTCATTATTAACACAAATTCCTGGAAACTTATCTCTGAGTTATGAATATACCCTATTCCCAAGGAGCAGTTGTTCCATCTTACCGTCTTTCTCATCCATAAATTCAGAGCTAATCCTGTGTCAGGGCTTTTCTTTTCCTGGATGATGTCAGAATGGAGGCTTAGGCTTCCTTGGGACCTTCATCTGTTGTACTCCAGGCTGTGATGTGGAACATCGGCCAGCGACACTGTGGGGTGTATAGACAGACACGTACTTCTAGGATTCTGCTTCCCGTGGCCATGGCTGAGTATGCTCAGGGCAAAATGCTGAGTGAATATTGTTTTGTTATGTGCCCAGAATGATGAACAGAAATGATGAAAGGTGCATTACTCTGGGGATCTGAAACATATTTATGGTCAGTTGTCCAGTTAGTCCTCAAGGTCTTAAAGTTAGCTGTTTGCTTTTTTTTTTTTTTTTAGCTGTTTGCTTTTGACTTTTCAAAGGAATAGTTGAGAACTGAGATAGACTCAGAAGTGAAGGGGAAAAAAAAGTGAGGGAAACATTGAGACCTGTTTTTTTTTTTTTTAAGTTGAAAATAAGAGGCACAGAGTGGCAGTGAATTTCTAGGATATTCTTACATTGTCACACTGAGCACATGCTGAAAGGTTCTTTCTTTCTCTCTCTCTCTTTCTTTCTTTTTTCTTTCCTTCTTTCATATTGGGAATTGAACTCTGGACCATGCACTAATCAGACAGGTGCTTGTGCCACTGACCTTTGTCCCCAGCCATGACAGTTTCTTTTTAATATGAGGGTCTAAGTTTTCTTCTCTTTATTTCAGTGGCAGTTTTGCAAAACATAATTTTTTTACCACCATATTTCATTGATACATAGTCATTAATTGCTAATTAAAATAACAGGTACATTTCTTATAAAAAAGTTTCCAACATAAAAGAATTGAGCCTCAGTAGGCATATAACTTAGAGGGAAGGGTATGGCTCTCCTAGTGAACTATTTTATCAGTCATAAGCATTTGGCCTTAAGGAACACATGTTTCAGAGACAGCGGTGCTCAGCAACATTCACAGCTTCTGCACACTTCCCAGATTCCTCTGCTGGAGTCATGTGACCAGCACCAGCCAATGGCACTGCAAGTGAGTGGAAGATCACTCCACTGTTTGCTCTGTTTTCTGCTACCACAGACGTGGGAACCATCACTGAGGTGATGACGTACAGTGTTAGAAACACAAACCAAGTCTCTTAAATGACTGTGGACTTAGTGTCTTTTATTGAATTAAGACACTGAGATTATGTTTTACTGTGAATTAATAATTACCATGATATGATCTTGTTTTTCTCAGTTATCATGGAGTGCTTAAGAGAATTAGTTCTTAAGTTATGATGTAAATGATTGAGTTAATAGAAGTTAAGAGATAATGGATTTTTTAAATGAAAAATCTGCTTTCTCACAAAGAAAACTTTATAACTGAATATGAAAATTTAAGAATCTTGAATGTTAAAATAAATTTTAAGTTACTATTATTATTATTATTATTATTATTGGATTTTTTTTTAGATAGGATCTCACTATGCAGTTCAGATTAGCCATGGATTTACTACACAACTTAGGTTTACCTTGAACTCATGGTGCTCCTCCTGTCTCAGCCACACAAGTGCTGGGATTACAGGCATGTACCACCATCCCTGGTAAATTTTAAATTATTTTTATGCTTCTTTTTTTCTTGGTACCAAAATCAAACTCAGGACCTTGTGTTTGCCAGTCAGGTTCTGTGCCATTGAGCCATATCCCTGGTCTAAATTATTTTTAATTGACAATAATTATAATCCATTTATATGGTACAATGTGATGTTTTGTTGTATTTATATACTATGGACTGACTAAAATGGATGAAAGCATTTGTCACTTACCATATATTTCTCTCTGTGGGGTGTGTGTGTGTGTGTGTGTGTATGATGACTTTTTTGTGTGTATGATGACATTTAAAATTTACTCTTTCAGCAATTTATCAACTGCACAATACATTATTAGTAAGTGTAGTTACCATTGTGTAGATTTCCTGAATTTTTTCCTGCTTTCTAATTGAAACTTTGTATTTTTGACTACAGTCTACTCATTCTTCCTCCTCTCCCCTCTTCATTCATGTCCCTGGAAACTCCCTTTTTACTTTATTTTTGAATTTTTTTTAAAAATTCATTTTAGTAACTTAGTTGTATCCCAAATTTTCTGATCAAGGAGATTATGGGGCCAAACAGGAAAGTGATTGATGATGTAGAGTGTGCCTAAGATGGTCACATGGAGAGAAAACATTCTGTCAGGCTGTCACAGAGAGCAAATTGGCCAAGCAATGGCTGTGACTCATCCACATGGCTGACACTGAAAAAGGATCTACAATCTGAGGCACGGGGTCTCAGGATAAATGCTGAAGGGATTTGACTAGCTTTATCAGATCCAAAAACTACAATTCTTGTTGTATAGGTCTTGCTTTATCTTGGCCTTAACCGTCTAGCAGAAAAGTATAAAAACGAAGTACAAGAAATAAAGCCATGATGTTATGTTGAGCTGTAGGGGACTGAAGTCATCAACTTCTGACATTGCCAGTCAAGTGGAAGACCCAATACTGTTATGGACTACTGGGCTATTCTGGAATATTTTGCTGAGCTCACACACCTATAATATTTAAATGATGGAACTAAACAAAAAAAGGGGATACAGAAGAATGACCATTTTGTATCTGTGTATTCAAAATGGTTAGGATAGATATATAGCTACATTCTCTGAATTCAAGGAATAGAAGGATTTGGTCAAATAGTGTTTGTAAATAGGATATCATGTCTGCATCATGTAGAACAAATAATCACTAGGAAGGTAGTAAGCAATGTGTTAATTATTGAAACTGTCCTACTAATTTGATTTGAAACTGTCTCATTGCTATTTATTTCTCAATAAAATTATGGAAAATAAAGAATTCAAAAGAAGAAATACAAATAGAAAGGTATAATACTACTAAAAGGAAAGTAAGAACTTGAGGAGGACTAGACAATGAAGGGAGAGCAAGGAAAAGAGCCAAGAAAAGTGATAGAGGGAAGCCATAGAGTTATATGTAGAAGATGGGTAAGGCAATGATCCTGAGAATCTTCAGAAAATTTTTGAATCTAGCAAGTAATTGGAAGGATTCGCACCCTGACTAACTATATATACTGATACCCGTGAACTAAGCAACCACATTGAAGATGGCAGTTTGTAATAGTAGGTTCATTCTTGGAGTGCCTGTCATTCTGGTCTTCTGAATATAGGCTGCTTGTCATGACACACCAGTTGCTGCTGGGCTGTCTCTTGGGTAGATGATTGTTTAAAAAGGAAGGGGGTGGTGAATGAAGACAGGAGACAGGAAAAGGGGTGTTGAGGGACTATCCTGCTACAGTGTTGTATATGGTTAGATTTCTGGACTTATGTGTAAACATATATAATTCTTTATTCCTATTTTTAAAATATATTTTAATTTTAAAAATTTGTTTTGTCATATTCTGTAGGGACTTAAAGTTTAACATATCAATACTGATGAAAAATACCTATTCCATGTTATGCCTAAGATGTTTGATATTCAGACAGATAGTGAAGTTAAGCTCAACAGCCTAGGTTGTATGGTAATAGCAATAAGCTTAATCTTTTAGAGTGTTAATAACCTAAGTTTGTAGACCAAAAATTAGAGAAAAAGAAGGGCCTTAAGGAAAGCCAACATTTTGGCCCTAGCCTTCCAAGGTCAATTAAGACTCAGGACATAGGGGCTGGGGAGATGGCTCAGTAGAATAAGC